CCAAAATAGACATGATCTGCAAATAGTACAGACCTCAGGTCTGTGATCACATACCTGACAGCTGACACCTGTTTCTTACCTCCAGGTCTAAAAGAAAGCGTCAGCAATGGAGGAAGCATGATTGCATGTGTTGGACATATAGCTGGTCTGTTAGTTTCTGCTGTGCTTCTAGTTGGTGAGTTTTGATCTGCAGAAAACATAAACAACACCTGCCTGCACCTGAAATGTCTTGTAATTAAAAAAAAATGTTTATCTTTAATTTTCCAGCTGAACTCTGAGTCAACACTGTTGTCATCCAGGATTTTAAAGATTCCAATGAATGTCAAACCCACTCGTCGTCACGCTCATCAACCAGCAGGGGGTGATGTGATAATAGAAAATTCAGTGATAGCAAATTGTGTTTTAATTTAGAGAAGCAACACGTTTTGATAATATTTAGGTTAGCTGCACTGATCCTGAGTTCAAACCTGAGCAGGACCCTCCCACCAGTGCAAACAAATATTAATTTACTGTAACGTTTAACCCTTGACCTTTATTTGTTGAACTACAAAAGTCCAGCCTATTGTTCATTATTCTCTGCAGTGTCACGAGCCATTAAAAATCAGATGAAAAGTTTTGCAGTAACATGTGTCCTACATTTATTTTGTATTTTTTATGTGTAACATTTCATTTTTACTGTGTACTGAAAACGACATATAATATGAATATAATGCATAATGCTGTGAGAAGTCTTTTTTTGTCTGAATGTTTAATCTGATTTAGACTTTGATCTAAACACTGGATTCATCAAAAAAGTGAGTACTGAAGGGAAAAACACAATTACAGCTTATCACTGTCTGACAGAAAAAGGTTTATAAATCTGGCTTCTTATCATGTTTGTGTAGTGTGCTTGGCTCTAAGTCACCATTCAGACATGCATCTGTGATTAAAGACAATCCCAGGAAGCTCTTATTACAGAGTGAAGAGTACCACTGCCTAACTGGAGGGTTGTCACAGTTGTCACATGGCTGTTATTGCACAGTGATTACCAACAACATACACGTAAATGTAAATTTATAATACATTAGGTTATAAAGACAGACACAGGCCTGCAGTAATGAGTTATAACACATTTTTATTTATTTAAATAATACCTTCTGCTCAGAGCTCTCCTCTCTGTGTGGTTTTATTTCCTGTGATTTCAGTTTCAGTCTGTTTCAGTTAAACAGACTGAGCCCTGGTACTAACATGACTTTAAAGCTGTTACTCTGACGATAATCTGAATATCTATCTGTACTGAGATCTGTGGCTGTAGCTGAGTTTGACCTTTGACACCAAAGATGTCAAAGAGGAAGAAATGTTCATTTAATCTTGTTATTAGAGATGTTTCCAGCATTTGTAACTTTTATTCAGCTCTCCTTTAATATTTGTTAAACCAGCAGAGACTGAAACTAACTACAGAAACTGACTAGCTCAAGCCCAGACAGGACTGTGCCTGTAGGCACCAGTGAAATGTGCACTTTTATTTCTAATGAAGTCATATCACTTTAATTTCCCTGCAGGCATTTGGATCAGTTAGTCTCCCATCTTTTAATGTACAGTAGGCCATGTAAACCCTGTTCATTTTGCTAGTTAACCAGTTAACCTGATATTAACCTAAACCACCTCAGCATGGGTTATATTGTAAAGATCTACTCAAAAAAATCAGACGTGCCTGATGATGTTTTGTCTCCAGATTATTAAACTGTCACTGTTTAGGATTTGAGAAAGCACAAAAAACTGATTTTGAATGTTTTTCTTTTTTTAAATCACATTTTGGGGGCAAAACTGTACATGATAGATTATTTTATTAGGACTTTCTGGACATCACTGAATGGGCTTAGGTCAGTTATATTTTGGAAAGCAGCTGAATTGTTATTTCTCAATGCAGGGTAGTGTAATAAATCCTAACATGCGCTCATTGATGTTCCTGTCATGGTCCTGGGTCATTTTGACCCAACAGTTTAAGTGTCCTGCGTTTTCTGTCATATTTTGCATTATGTTGAGGTTTCCTAGGATATTCTGTTCAGTATTGTTTATTAGATTTCTCCTCTGTGTTTTCCTCTGTGCGACTGTGTATATGGTGATGTGAGTTATTGTGCTTTGCTCCTCTTTCAATTGTGTTCTCTCGCTCTCTGCTGTCTCTGTGTACTGTCTGTGTTATGTTTCAGATCCGTGTCTTGGTGTCAGCGTTTTCAGTTTCGTGTCCTCCCCACTCTGTCATTGTCCTCAGCTGTGTTCCCCGTGTGCTTCCACTTCCCTCGTTACTTTCTGTGTATTTATGATATATGTAAAACAGGAGCAGAACTGAGTCCTCAGTCAAGCCCACATTCCTAGTTACTTTTGTTATTTCACTGTTATTTAACTTTCATGCTCAGACATGCATCTCTCCTGCCTTCCCACTAACTGATTTTCCACTGCACACACACCCTCAACCTCAAATCAAACAAAGACTGTTAAAAGCAGTTACCTGATATCTACAGTTTCAGATTTTGTTCCTGAAAACATCAGCATCCTTGGATTTATAACAGCTGGAGTTTGAAC